AGAAACAGAATTTCCGGAGTATGGAGGCCCAGAAATCAGTGATTGTAAAAAGATTCCCAGGTGATTCTAATGTGCAGCCAAGGTTGAGAACCACTGTTCTAATCTCTTCTTTTTCCATTGTTACATCCTGACCAACCCTTCTGCCTCTTCTTCCCCTTTTAAGGGCTTACATTGATTACAATGGGCCCACCCAGATGATCCCCACCTCAAGGTCAGCTGGTTAGCAACTTTAGTTCCATCTGCTACCTACTTCCCCTTTGTCAGGTAACCTAAGGTAACCATAGGGTTGGGACAGACACCTTGGGGGCTGTTCTCCTAGCACACCATCTAGTGGGAGAGGTACACCTGGGTGCAGTGAACGCTACCAGGCGGAATAAAGTCATGGCCAAGTTGAGGCAATAGCGATGGGCCCTGCAAAAGGAGAGGATCCTCCCTTTGAATTGGATCTATCTATCGACCTGCCTATCTATCACCTATCTAGCTATATCCAATTCCATATAGATCCAATTATACATGAGATTATATCTGAGAAGAATGAGTAGGAGCCTGAGAAATGGCATTCCAGGTGGAAGGAACAGCATAAGCAAAGACCAGGGGGGAAAGGGCGTTGAGAGTGTAGTTTGTTGTGGATGGAGCATCGGGTACATAGAAAGAATAAGGCAGCCCTGCCTCAGATATGTATTTAGCTTTTTAATTATATTTGATTTAGGCCAAATCATATATCTTTCCTGAGCTCACGTCAGCTCAGAGAACCAGAGGGGAGGTAGATGGTTTAAAAAAATGACAAGTGGTGAGGAATGAAACCCTGCCCTGGAAAACCTCGGCCTGAAGGGGATGAGGCTGTGCCCAGGGCACAGAAAGGGGGAGCACCCATCTTTTCAGACCCACCAGTTTTTTAAAAATATATTTACTGATTTCAGAGAGGAAGGGAGAGGGAGAGGGAGATAGAAACACCAATGATGAGAGAGAATCATTGATGGGGTGCCTCCTGCATGCCCCACACTGGGGATCGAGCCCTGACTGGGAATCAACCATGACCTCCTGGTTCATAGGTTGACGCTCAACCCCTGAGCCATGCCAGCTGGGCATGCTGACCCACCAGTTTTATGGGTGATTTCAGGCTTGCAGCTACTGAATGGGCCATTCAGAGCCTCAACATCTCTGGTTCCCAAGGTGGGAGCTGGTGGGAGTTGCTCAGGTGAGATGGCTGGGCGGAGCTGTCAGCATTTGGGCATCTCTTCCCCAGCCTCCGGTCCCATGGGGAGCAGCCCCCAAGGCTAGGGAGAGGGCCCAGTGTGGGGGGCAGGTCAGCTGCTCATGCTGGAGCCAGAGTTCAGGCTTCCCCTGCCCGGGCCTGGCCCAGGAAATCAGGTTTTCTAGAGCACCTACTTCCCCTTCCAGGCATAGCAAGCAGAACACCAGCCCGGCCGGAAATGGGCCCTGCTGCTGGCGCGGTGTGAGCTGACTTTCAAGTAAGGCTCCGCTTTCCTAACAAGTAACCAGCTCTCGGCCAAGCCTTGTCTTTCTTGAAGCCCAGCTGTTATTCGGAGTGGAAATGGGAACGATTCTTAGGTGTATCCCAGTGTTTCCTGAGTAGCCCGTGGGTACATAAAAGAAAGATGCCACGCCCACAGATAAACTCTTTTTTCCCATAGTTATATCTTTATTTTTACCGTTACCTTCTATTTATGTTCATTGATGGTGTTCTTCATTTGCTGCAGTCACGTAAAAGTTTTAAAAATATGTTTACTTGAATTTCAAATGTGGGTTCATTTTTTAAAAATATCAAGCACACGGTAATACAGGCTTTTGTGGGTAAGGCCAAGGCCGGGGTGGTGGTATTTGATGGCTGATGTTTGGGGGACGCTAGTCAATTTGACTCAACGTGGCTAACCTGTGGGAGTACCTGCGGGCGATGAGCCAGGCACTGTTGGGCGCCGATGCTGGTAAAGTGTTTGGTGTGTGTGTGTGTGTGTGTGTGTGTGTGTGAGAGAGAGAGAGAGAGAGAGAGCCCCGTGCACAGTGTGGCCAGGGGCCGCTGACGCTCTCCCTTCTGTGGCCTTCCAGATATCGATGAATGCCGGACCATCCCCGAGGCCTGCCGAGGAGACATGATGTGTGTGAACCAAAACGGCGGGTACCTGTGCATCCCCCGGACAAACCCAGTGTATCGGGGGCCCTACTCGAACCCCTACTCCACCTCCTACTCAGGTCCATACCCAGCAGCTGCCCCTCCGCTCCCGGCTCCAAACTACCCCACGATTTCCAGGCCTCTCATCTGCCGCTTCGGATTCCAGATGGATGAAGGCAACCAGTGTGTGGGTGAGTAGCCCAGCACCTTGGGCCCCCTGTCCACTGTGCCCGGCGAAGGCCACGCCCTAATCCAGCAGGTTCACCCCGACAGGTTATTAGCTGCCCTTCCATGCACCTGTGGAACAATGACTTACTTTCTACATAGTTTTTTCACTCTTAGCAGCACGTCTCTGGGAACCCTCCCACCTATCAGTAGTTTAGTTTGCTGTGTCACTGACAGTTCTCCAGAAAGCCAATTAATCTACCTACTCATCTATCTATCATCTATCTATCTATCTATCTATCTATCTATCTATCTATCATCTATCTATCTACTTATCTATCTACCTATTTATCATCTATCCATCTATCTTTTGATATTATCTATTTATCCTCTATCTATTTAAAGACCAGGCTCATATGTTCTCTGTGCAATAAGAAATGCAACTGGTCAAACTTAGTAAGTGAATCCCAGAATGAGATCGAGAAAGGACTAGCGCTTTCTTCCCAACACCCCTCACCCGTGAATGGAATGTATGCTCCTGAAGTAAAAGAAGCCGTGAGGGCCAAGACCACCTGTTCTGGAAAGAAAGTGGGTTCCTTGAGTGGGGACCAATGCCCTTTTGGCCAGAAGGGGCCTTGCTGATGGGAGCTTGTAGCAGGAGTAGAACTCTGGGAGAAGGAGTTTGCCATGAGGTCCCAACGGAGCTGGTGAGTGGTGTGATGGGTGCCCTGGTGAGCTTTGGTAGTCCGTTGGCCAGGGTCACCTTGCCAGAGGGTTACCTGGAACCCTCCCTGGTCACTTGGCTGTGACCAGAACCTTTGCAATTGTCTCCAGCTTTGGGAAATGGAGTGATGGTGACTCCACGTACCTCATCTACAAAACCTGTTTGTACCTGGAGCCCCATTTTAAGCATATTTATAAGTTATATAAGTATCCTGTTTTACTAGGATGGTTTGAGGAGTATAGAGCATACATAGGAAATAGAAAAATTTAAGGGATGTGGTAAAAATTAATGTGAAGTTCTAATATGTCCTTCCTTTACCCCAAAAGTTTAGGAGAACATCGATCTGCTTAGAGAGATTTTTGTTGGACCCATTTTAGGGTTCTGGAGTGTTGAACTGTAACCAACTGTTAGAGGCTGTGTGGTGATCTTGTAATGTCTTTTCTATGTCCATGCAAATGAGTGCATTTATATTTGAATACATGCAAATCACATGCAAATGTGTCCGTCAGAGCTACAAGGGAAAATTGGGTACACCTGAACCCAAACTTCTCTGGTCTCAAGAGGTGGGGTGTCAGGGGAACGGGGTCGGGGGGAAGAGCTGGTTGATGGCCACTTGGGATGTAGATGACTGTGCAAAGGGAAAGAGTGTGGGGCCCAGTCCAGTCAGGGCTGACGCTTTGGTGGGGAAGATAGGAACACGCTTCCTTACAACAAGCAGCAGAACCACAGACGTGGTAGCTGGAAGGGACTTTACAACTTAACTTTGGCGTCTTCACTTTACAGAAAAGGGAATGTGGACTCCAATGACTTAGATGATAACAGAGGTCAGATGGGGGCCCATTGTCCTGACAACCAGTCTGCATTCTCCTAACTGCACTGCAGGCCGCTTGCCTCTGTAGAAAGACATGATCCCAAAAGCAAGTGCAGAGAAAGCGAGGTTGGGGTGGGGGTGCAGCTCTTCCCTGTGGGGCCGGGCGGGCCCCGGGACCGTGCACCTCTTCAAGTGGAGAAGGGGTGTAATGACAGGTGGAGCGCTCCGGGTTTCCAGGAGTGGCTGCTCTATCTGAGGTCTTGGGCCATCTCAGGGGCCCCTGTGGCGGGGCAGCTGGGAAGCGCCCAGGGCTCCCCGACGTCACCCTGTCTCCCACAGCCCTCTTCCAGGACCCCAGTGCCCTTGAGAATGAGGACATGGCTGGGAAACCTATTCATCTCCTGGTCCCTAGGATGGCATGCGGTTTTACAGCTCGAAACCTGTCACACGGGAGATGTGGAGCCTTCATAATGGCCCTTTTGTAAGGAAAATACAATCTAGGAACCCTAGTGGGGACTGGCACTGGGCCCGTCCATTTCCAGAAAGTTCAGCATTATGCATTCATCAGTCCGGAGTTCTTTCTAACTTCCCTTCACCCCACCCACCGTTTCCTGGTTTACAGAGGGTCCGTCTGGGCATGGAGAGGGGTGGCCTCCTGGGCAGGAGCAAGGGAGGGACAGAGAAGGGAGTCTCTCTTTCCAACACCGCTCCCGCTGGGGAGAGGGATAGGGAAGTGGGCCTGGGAACCGGCCGCATGCGAGCAAGGCACAGAGGTGGCCGGAGTGGGGGAAGGACCCAGAGGGGACATTGTGGTCACTGCCTAGAGAAAGAGAACGTTGGTGCCTCCCAGAGCGCAGGTCTGGTCCATGGGATGCGCGGTGTCTGGTCGGAACGAGTTGGGAAATGTTTCCGAAACTTCGGTGTTCTAAGAGAGGAGGACCAGATCTCCAAAGGAGTGTCCTCCACCTCCTCCTCAAAATAAAAAAGGGCAGCAGTAATGACCGTGAGCACTGGTAGAGTGCTGTGCGCCAGCCCCTTCCTAGGAACGCGCACCTACTCCTCCCCACCGTCCCGCGAGGTAGGACTGTTCTTCCTAGTGGACGCTGAGGACGCTGAGGATGTAAAGCTCAGAGAGGTGGAGAAGACGGGGCCAAGCCAGCGCTTGAACCCATGCAGGCTCTGGATGAGGAAACTAGGGTCCCCGGAGTAAAGGTTTTTCAGATCCTCCCAGGCAATCAGTACTGGAGCCATCATTAACAACCAGGGCCTTCTCTTCTTCTTCTTCTTATTTCTTGTAATTAACACTTGTGTTCTGTAAAACTTCGAGCCTAGACAAAAGCAGAGAGAACATCATGAGCACACACCTCCTTATCGCCCCGCTTCAGTAATTGTCAGTATAGACCCAGCCTCATTTCTCCTTTGCCCTCACCTCGTGGGTTTCTTTAAAGCAAATCCCAGGCATCATCTAATTTCAGCCTGAACTGATAAAGTGTTTGGAGTTCTCCGCGAAAGCCAATTCATCTACCTACTTATCTATCTATCTATCTATCTATCTATCATCTATCTATCAACTTACCTATTTGGGGTTCAAAATGTATCTCTCAGTGATAAAGTTTCTTTTAAAAAATAGCCACAGTACTGTCATAAACCTATAAACATCAACAATGGTTCCTTTTTCTTACTAAATATCTAGGTAGTGTTCAAATTTCTCTGATTGTCCCTAAATGTTTTTTTTCTGTTGGTTGGTCTGAATCAGATTCAAACAAGGTCTGCAAATTACATTTGGTTGACAACCCTCTTAACTCCCTCTTAATCTTTTTTGTTTCCTTTGCCACTTGAAAGAGGCCGAGTTGTTCGTCCTGTAGAATTTCCTGCATTTGGGGTGTAGCCGATGGCATTCTTGTGGTGGCATTTAGCATGTGCCTTTCTCCCACCGCTTCCCCGTGAGCTGGAAGAGTTACATCAGAGACTTGCTCCAATTCAGGTTTAATTTTCTTGGCAAACTGCTTTCCAGGTAGTACCCTATTCCTTGGTTCCCTCCATGTCCTGCTTTCTTCACCTACGTCTACGGAAGTCTACACACGAGTTTATAGAAGCAAATGGACATCCCCTTTCACTGTAACTATGTTTTTCTGAGTTTTGGACCCACCTTCAAGGAAGCAATTTCCTCCCGTGTGCCCAAATTAGTCCGTGTTCTGTTTCTGCAGGGTGGGCGGGGCCAGACTTGGCACCCGGGTCCCTTGGGCCTCTGAGCTTCCTGCTCCACTTCTGTTCTGGGTTCCTCGTTGAAGGTGACTAGACGCTGCTCCTAAGGAGCCAGGAAAGCTTTCTGTTCTTTAGAAAACTGGCCTCTTGGCTTGGGGGTGCCCAGCACCAGGGCCCCCTCCACAAGGGTGGTGGGACTCCTGGCTAGTCAGGGTGCCTCCCGGATCCTGGGCCCTTGGCAGATCTGGAGACCAGCTTCTCAGGATGGAGAGCCGGAAGGATGTGGTTAATTGGCAAGGAGGAGAGGGCTGCTGGAAGGAAGCCTTGCCTCCCTAGAACACAACCAAGGCCCAAAGGCCACATCGAACGCCTACAAGGGGTTCTGAGCCGCAAGACATGGCAGAAGCAGGGTGGGGTGGAACTAACAGCATTGGTGTTGAGGGCTCAGGGTGAGCTGAGCCGAGGGCTTGGGGCACCCTGGATCTGAACCCCGATTCAGGAACCTTCCCTTCCTAGCTCACCACCTCTGAGACGTTTGGTATAGGTCCCCGAATGTGGATGCCACTTGTTTCTGACTGTTCATCTCCTTTGGGGCTCAACTTGTCACCTCTGGGTGAACATGCTTAGTTCTGTCCTTGCTAATCAACTTGGCAATGGCAACTCTCATGACCACCGTGCATGAGAAAGCACCATTCACTGGAGCCACTCTGCCTGGGAACTGCAGGGGCTCTCTGGCCACTGGTGATAACGCGGTATCTTTATTCTCCCGGCCTGGGGTTTGTTCATTGGTCAAAGCGCCCAAGTGCACAGAAAGGAACACGTGTGGATCCTTTTGAAAGATGGATGGTTGTTGGCCTGAGGCTTTCTTCCCAGTTATTTTTCTCTGAAAGCCAACAGGTATTTTATTCAACCAATGTATGTAGAGAACCTTATTGGTGCCACCCTCTGGCCTGGGCATGGAGGGGGCAGGGAGTCCGGGCACAGCCACAGGGCTCTCTCCAGAGCTTACTGTCAAGGAAGGGAGAACAGACATAAAGCAAGCAGCTGACATACCAGGTGACCGCAGACGGGTTCCTGAAAAGGCGGGGCGACCTTCAGTGGAGAAGGCTGGAATCTAGGAGTCAGACAGGCCTTGCTTCTCCCCTTGGTTGGGCCACTTCTGAGCTGTGAGACCTGGGTCTCAGTTTTCTCCTCTGGACAATGGGTACGACAATGCCTACCTCGCAGTAACATGTGAAAACGCCTGGTCTGGGTCTGCATGGAGTATCACGCAGAAATGCTGCGGG